AGTAAACTACACTTTTTGCAGCTTCCCCAGCTGGTTTATTTCTCATAGCTAAATTAACACATGTTCATTGTACTTTCCTGTAATTTTCAAGGCCTCACTTTAGACGATAAGGCCTGAGGTTGTTGGCTTATTCACATCTGCTGCTTTCCTGGAGGTCAATCAAACAGTTCTTCATTCAAAAAGTAATGGGGACTTACAAAGGAAAACAATTATTTCACTTGAAAATCTATTGATCTAGGTTCTGTGGTTCATGTGGTGTTTTGGGTGCAGAACAGTTGCTTGAAACAATCTGAGATCAATTTGAGTGTTACTAAATCAATAGGTAACCATAACTGAAATGTGCTGGTTGTGTGTTTATAAGGGTGTATCTTATAGCGATATGAAAATGCTGAAGGTGATCAAAATAAAAGGTCACAAGTATAAGCTCCTATATATTATTTAAATGTAAAATCTATCTCGCTTCCAGACTCAAAATATAATACTTTAAGAAGACATTTCTACTGCTTCCCTGAGGAAATTATGCAAAATAGATAGGTTTTGGTTTAGAAGAGTAAACCTGTGTGGGTTTGAGTCATTCCTGTTCCATTCTGAGTGTTAAATTCATAGGGATTTAATGGAAGATTTAGACAAACTTGGGAAGCTTAATGGTATCTATCACAAAACTCTTTCTTAAAATGAGTGATATTGCAAACTTATTGTTATGATGCAATTCCTTAATTACGGCAATTAACCACATTCCTTCTTTTGTGTTGACTTCAGAGGCTTGAGGCAGCAAAATGATTTAGAGAACACTGTGCTGAACTGTTTACATTGAGCATTCAGTGCAACCTTTTTATACAGTAGTGTTGTAAATATTTATATTTGCATTTTGTAAAATAGTTTATTCAGTGCTTCTGAAATGTATGGAATTAATAACCATGGAGACAGGATTTTCATAGTCTGTGGTATTATAGGATTCCATTTATTGTTAATCTTGTTCTTTATGTCAAAATATACATTAGTACTTTTAATCTATATAGTCCTAATCCCCTGCTAGTCTGAAAATATTAATAATTTCTCTTTAGTGACTCACATGGCTTATAATTTGAGGCAATTGGAATTTTTTTACTTCCAAATATGGTATAAGAAAAAAATCCACTTGAAAGTTCAGGATAGATCTTCTGATGTGACAGATGCAGATGCAGATGCAGATGCAGGAGGATGGCAATGGAGTCCATAGTTTGTGAAAGTTCTTAATCAGGCTAGAATAGACTTTATTAGCAATCAGTGGCCCAAGCGAGACACTGGTATGGTCAAGTTTCACTTGTTAGCCCTCATCATACTCCTTTTCCTGGTAATAGTGAAGTGTTGGAATAGGAGCTGCTACACCAACTCTGTGGGCACGTCTGCACATGCAACTAATGTTGCAGCTCCTGGGTGAGTTGTTTGCACATGCATCTTGGACTGCAGTACACTGAGATGGGTTGGGGCAGCCCTGACTGTTAGGTTTGCTCCGTCTGGCTCAGCGTGCTGTGGAGGGGCTGGCTGTGGCATGAGGTGCTCCAATGTGGGGCTAGTCAGCAGGCAGCCGCTGCACTGAAGCACCCTTGTGCCCCAGCCAGCTGTGTCAGTGTGTACATGTGCGCTGCTGCAGAGTAAAAAAAAACTCCTCAGATGGATAGGATAGTACTTGTATTTACAAGTAGTACCCTGTTGCAGAGTTTATTAGTTTACTCCAGCCTAATAACCCTCACTTGTAGACATGAGATGTTTATTGCAGAGCTAATTAGTCTACTCTGCAGTAAACATCTCATATAGAAGCACCCTTTGTCACCCAAACTCTCACCATGCAGGTGAGACCCAACAAGGGCCTACATCCCAGTGTATAGATTCATTTTGCGTAGGTAAACAGTATTAAGTATAAAACCAAGGCCGAGGCATCTAGCTTTAAGGGAGAGTAGAGGCACAGGGCACCCAAACTATGACTGCCTTGAGGTACAGTGTCTCTGTAGGCAGTAACAAATAACTGTTGGACTGATTTAAAGACATCTCATTTTATTTCAGCAAACCAAAATACTTGATTTGAGCTGAGATAACCAAAAGCAAAATAATGTGCTTAATTTCCTAATGGAAAACCAAAAAAAAAGGGCAACATCATTTCCACCCCCCTTGGGAACTGCATTTTCTATTGCAAAGTCATATAGATGGAAAATTCTCAGTTAGCTCTAATCAAAATCCCAATTAGCTTTAGGATGTGAGGTGGGGAAAGCAAATAACAAAATCAGAAAAAAAATACCACAATGTGGTACCAGTCCTTTGACTTCCACTTCAGTTCCAGCTGACAGCTAAAGTTGTGAGATGGAAGGAACTTTTTCCAATGTAGTTATTGCTACACACCCCAGATAACAGTAATAATTTGGTGTTTAAGAATAACTGTGGATTTAACATTTTTCTGTCATATACTGAATTTTCACAGAAGCCAGGTAGACACTAACATAGGCAAGTTAAAATTTTTCAAAGTGTACACTTAATGTTTTGCACTCCCTTATTAAATAGTCTGTTTTTTGACTGTGTAGAGTGTCTCTGGAAATTACATATTCTAGAGGAATGAGAGCTTTTGAAACTTACTGGCTTCACATACATAACTCATCTTCTGAATCTCTCATTTCCTATGAAGAAGTCAAGATCCTACCATGAGTAATGGAGTATGCTGCTATTCAGAGAATAAAAGCCTACGATAAAAATGTAAGTCTTTTTATCCAATTTGAAATGTTCTTCTGGTTAGGGAAATATTTTTTAAAATTTTTGATAACTTGCTTTGTGGAATCTTTTCTGACAAGTGCTAGACAAAGGATATGGGGGAAAAACTGCATTAGAGCAATTACTGAGTGGTCCAGATTTTTCATGAGTAGTCAGACAAGTAGCTAATTTTGCTATCTGCGGAAATCAGCTCTTGGCTCAGGTCTGCAGCATCAGGTTCAGGCTAGCGTTTCTGGGGAAAAAGGTAATACCTACATGCTCTTGGTTTCAGAGCTGGTGTGTATCTATAAATAAAGGAAGTTATACTTAAGTATGCCCAGATAACAAGCATTTATCTCCTGCCCCTGCCCCACTGGGAAGCTGACTTGTAGGGAGAATTAGTGTGTTAGAAATGCTGGGATGGGAACCCAGTGAGGCCAAGCCAGCAGGCAGAAGCAAAATCTGTAGCACCACCAGGCAGCTGGTCAGATACCCACTCTAGCCCTGCTTAGTCTGTCCCCTGGGGACAACTGATGAGGAGTCAGGTGACCAGGAGGAACCTATGGGAACTGTGAACCTCTTGACAGGGGGACTATAAAACCCCTCTTACTTTCTGTGCACTTCCTGGGCCCCAGCCCCAGCTGGACCTCTCAACTCTGATCTAGCATCCACCCTGACCATGATACCACCTCAACCCTTGGCCTTATGACTTGTATAGCAATCAATACTTGACGTGACCCTAGCCTGCCTATGGTAATTTGTTAAGTGACTGCCCGTGGTCCAGTTGATCCTGACACCTCACTGGTTTTAGAAATGGAACTTTAGTGTCATAAGAAGGACAGCAGTATAAAGCAAGCACTGAACAAACTGCTTGTGCATTATGGATAGTGCTGAGGTTACACTTAGATTGACTTAATTAGGGTTAGGCTGATCTCTGTTCTGATCTGTACAGATGTTCAGGGAGGTTAAGTCCTGCAAAAATGGCCAGGCTAATCTAACAAATATTTCCGCATATTCAGAGTACATCCCTGGGGCTGGGAAAGCCCAGCTGATCATCCTAGCTCCAGGGCTGTGCTCTTCTTTGCCTTCCCCTGACCCTGCCTAGGCTTTTTTTTAGCTCCCTAGTCCTCACCTATAGACCTGCCAATCTCCCCATGGGCCCACTAGCCCCTCTTGATCCTGCCTGCCCCCATCACCTCACTAACTTATTTAGATCAGGTTCCCGGTGTGGCTCCTGGCACTGGTGAACATCCACACATGGTGAATGAAATGTGCGCATGTACCCTATGAGAGCTTGACTGGAACATTTTTAAAATTAGGTGTCTATACTGTATCTAAGGTGAATTGGGAGCACTTCTGCCAAAACATACCCCACCAGTTCCTCCTACTTCAATTGTATTACAGGTAAAAAAAAAATACCATGCGATTGCCAGTTGAATGGCGCTGAGGCTGCTCTTATGAGCATGCGTGAGCCTGAGAGTGGCTCTGGGTGTGCTCCAAAAAGCAGCTGTGTGACATCTTTTTCTCTGGCATATGTCTTGCAAGCGCGGGCCCAAGTTGGAGTGGGAGGGAGGCATAGTTTCACAGTACTGTTCCCTAGCATCATCCAACACAGTGTAGACATGCTCTTATATGCTTGTTTTAATTGGTTAATAATCTCTGTAATGGCATACAGTATGCATATCAGCTACTGTACTTAGTTATAATGATTTTGATTATATCTATAAAATAATACACTTATATTATATGACTGGGGCCTTCTTTAGGCAATTTACTCCCCCCTTTGTATTATTCTGAATTTTTAATAACACTATAGGTTTAAAGGATACCCTGATTGAAGGCTCTCAATAGTTCATTAGACTCATACTGAGATAATTTATGCTAAGTGGAGCTGGTCCAAAAATAGCGAGACTTCTCCATGAGAAGTGTTGGTGTCTTCCTTTTTTTAAATTAGAAGAATGAAAACCAAATATGAACAATATTTGGGAGGGGGGTTGGCTTTTCCTCTATCACTTCCCCATATTTCAGAAGCAAATTTAGAAACAATTTTAAAGTGTTTGAGAGGGGGAAAAGCCAAAGGGTAAAGGAGGAAAGGGGAAAAAAAGAGCAAACCACCTCAAAAGCTGAAAACCAAAAAATCAGAATATTTTGAAAACTGAAACATTTCTGCAAAAATATTAGTTTTAGAAAAATAGGACATTTTTCAGCAAATAGTCTTGAAGACATTTTCAACAGGCCTCTAGTAAATATTTTTTCTTGTTTTCTTTTAAACCTCTGTGCAGATTGGTGTTTTGGGACAAGGATCATCTATTATTCTGTTTACGCACTGCTAAGCCCAGTGGAGCCTTGCCCGGAACAACTGACTGGGTCCTTTTGCCACTCCCATACAAAGCATAATAATAATTCTTTAACAATCCTTGCCCCTACTGCTGTATTCTCCAGTCCCCTCAAGCTGACAGGTAATCGTTCTATGTATCAAGGGTAGATTTCTATTTCTTTTTGCTTGTGCAAGTGACAGTTTTTTGGTTGACATTAGTGGTTGGCAATGTTTTCATTTGGTGAGCTGGAATGATGCAGTTCAGGTCCAAAGTGCTGCCAACACTGCTGCTTCTTTATGCTGCCCAGTTGTGGTCTGCTGAGGCCCCCCATCTCTGCAAGCTGTAGGTATTTGACCCCTGCTCTACATGGCATCTTTGGCTCTTAGGCACAGGTAGTCTTTTTATTTACAGGACATCTGAAAATGAAGTGTGCATGTCTATGCACACAAACTTGGCATGCAAAAAAGGCTACACATTAGCCATGCACGTGGCTAACTACATTTTACCCTTTGTGGACATGTAGCAGCATCTCCCCAAAACCCATGACTAGCAGATATCATACTCGGGAGGTGGTGGCCCTTCTATGTTTTAGTGCTAATAAGTGAGTGTCTAGGGCAGTGGATCCCAACGTGGTGCCCACAGGCTCCATGGCGCCCTCCAAGGTTTATTCAGGTGCTTGCACGCATTTTCACGATGAATAAAAATCATTATTCCAACAAAAAATGCTGTCATATTGGCACCCGCTGCTTTTTCTTTTAAATTTGAATGTGCCCTTGGGCATATAAATGTTGGGAACCCCTGGTCTAGGGCATTTACCTAAGAAACAGGAGACCTACATTCTAAGCCTACCTGACCTGGAGGTCAGTTGAACCTGGATTGATCTGACTTGAAGCATAGGTCTCTAACTAGCCCACCACTGCTCAATCATTATTCAGGCCCTCCTCCAGTGCACCTTTTTGAAGCTGGACCCTGAGCAGCTGCAAGAAGGAGGTATGTTAGAGCCAGGAAGAGATAAGCAAGACTGAAGGTGCATGGCTCAGTGAGGTGGCAGTGCCTCTCCATGGCAGTAAGCCTTGCCTTCTAGCCTTGAGCTTTGCTTCCCAGAGAAACTGCCTTCTCTCCCATTTTTTCAATGAGTATATTAAGCTCGAGGGCTCTAAGTACTAGGATCTACAGCCTAGTGCTCTTGGTCCTGTTGATACCAATTAATTTCAGATATGTGATATGTTATTATTGGATGGGGCTAGCAAAATTCAGAGGTGTAAATGCCTGTGGCAAAAGACAGTTGCAGCAACGAAATCAACCCATTGTCCCTACCCCAATTATAGGGTGTAATGGCAACAGCACCTCATTAGGTCTCTCAGTACTATCCTTTTGTTCTGGATATGCCTTATATCCCAGAGCTGCCCCTCGCCAACTATTCTCTATTTCTACCCCAGCAGTCCCAGCCCTTTTACCAAACCCCTCCTCTGAGACCTAATTTCAGGATGCAGCCTTGACTGCTGCCCCAGTTCACTGAAGCCTTTTCCTGTTCTCTTGGCATTTTGGTACCCCAATCTGGCTGGATGTTGACCATAGCACTGTGCCCTTCAACTTTCCTTACAGCTCTGCAAGAGAGCATGAAAGACATCCATTGTGAGCAAGGAGGGCACAGCATCTTAGACCTGCAACCTGTAGCAAGAACCCTTGAATTGTGGTAGGTGTCTTTGATATATGGTGGTGCCCTCTCAAGCTGTTTCACCTTACTGAAGCTTTGTTGCTTCAGTAGCATGCAAATTGTACAGGATCTTTTGTGTGTCTTTTCTATAAGTTTGATAGCAAATTTGTGCAATGCATCCCTGAAACATTCAGTTTTCCATATGCTGGTAGATGTTTGTATTGAAAATATATAACCCCATTGCAGCTCTTTTTGGGGTCAGGCTAGAATTTTGACAACTAGGCAAGGGGTATTTGGGGTGACATCCATAAAAGTATGCATATGGGAGAGGGGGAAGAAAGGGTTAGTTTGATTTGTTTTTTGACTACCAGAAAGTTACTGACATTTTCAACACAAAATTCATTTACTTTTCCCATCCCCATTTTGCCTAAGGAAAAGAAGTAATTTTATAATTAGAAAAGGGTGCGTGTGGAATTTGGCAGTCCCATACCAGCAACATTTCACAATAGCTAGCTGTTACAGTTCATCAGAAGTTAATTAAAAATACAGAAATAAAAATTCTTTTAAATCCAAATTTCTCATGAAAAAGTTTGATTTAAAGTAAAAAAAAAAAATTCTGAAATATTTCAAGTAAAAAGTGACCCATTTTAATTTGGAAATGGTGCTGCAGTGTCTCCTGGAAATTATACTTGTAATGATCCTTATGAAGAGGGAAGGTAATTGAATCATCTGAGTCCATGGCCTTAATGAAAAGGCAAAAGGCAGTCTGTCTGAGGAGACTGGCTTGGCATTTTTGATGGAACATTTTCAAGCAGCCCTACCAGGTACCACTTGTACCCCTAACATGGCATGCAAAAGAGTAGAGAAACACTTTCCTTTTCTGTTTATTCTACAGTGATTATCAGGGAAATAGTTAACAATATTGTCATGCAGAGTATCAGTATAAAACCTCAGAGTCAACAGTGCACTGAAATGAGTGGAAGGAGTCCTCACTTCTGTCAGAGATAGGAATTCAGGCAGAAATTACTACACTGGTTTCTGTTTAGTTCATGAGTTGGTCTTCCCTGCACTGCTGAATTTCAGCAAAAGTCTAAATTTGGTAGGCCCCATACCCTGCCTGCTCTCCCAGCCCCCCTGAGCAGCCCCCGCCTGCTGTCCCAGCCCTCCCCCACCACCATGGCTGCCCTGCCTGGCCCCAGCTCCTGGCTCTTTAAAAAACCCCAAAAAACTAAAAAAACCAAAAAGCCCCACACTCTCTGGCTGCTACATTGGCCTTGGGGCTTCTGGGGGCTCATGCAGCGTGGGGCAGCAGGGATTGCACCCTGCCTGGCAGCAGCCAGTGAGTCAGGGCTTTTTTTTTTTTTTTTTTTTTTAAGGG